AGCTGTAAATAAAGTGGGCAAAGCTGCGCTGCCAGGGCAGGACAGCGGCTGCCGGGCCGTACCGGGCAGCTGTTCCGCACATCAGCGTCCTGCGGCCGCGGACACGCGCGGAGCGCCGGCCGCGCGGGGCGGGGGCGCGCGTTTGGCGGCCGCCACAGCCGCGCTCCAGCGGGGAAAGTCCCGTGCATCCGCGGAGGGAGCCTCTCCGCAAAAACGCATCTGGAGCGGATCGCTGCCAGCGGGAATATTTTCTGGCTTTCCGCTTCCCTCGAGATTTTCCACATACTACTCTGCCGGAGACCTCCACTCTCCCCCGAGCACCTTTCGAATGCTTTGTGAATTCCGTACTGTTGCCAAAAAAACAGGAGATCCCTCACCAATCTAATATTTGCCTTTTCCCCTCCCTCCCGTCCCCCCCGCCCCACCCAGCATTTCTCTGCCACTTAAAAAAAAAAAAAAATCCTATTGCAAGATCTACTTCACGCGGGTACATGGGCTTCTCACGCAAAAACACAGGAAACAACGTAATTTCTGAAATAAGTTTATCTGGGACCTTCCCAGCTACTCCGACCGGTGTGAGACAGAAAGCACTCTCCCGGACTCTGGTGTGAATTGGTAAGAGAGGATACATAATCCCAGAGCGCAGCCCTGAGCCCTTGCACACTTCTTCTGGAGGAACCTCGCCTGGGGAACGCCGTCAGCTATCGCACCCCTCCCCAAGTACCAAAAAACAAGAGAAACCACCCGAAAGAGGGACTCCGCTTGCAGAGCCCATCCTTGCAAACACCTCAACAGGACTTCCCGGCAAGGATGGGATGAGAAACAGAACGGGAATGTTTGTTTTCCCCTGTTGTTGTTGTTGAACGCATGAATGAATGAATGGATGAATGAATGAATGGAACAGAAGGTGCTCGGAGGCATATAGGAAGCTTCTGACCGCTTACATTAACTTCCTATTACACCCTAAAAATAGAACCGCGTTTCCTGTTGTTTGTCAGCTCCTTCTAACTGTTGTGTCTGTTGTGTGACATCTTTCGACTCACAAATTTGACCTTAAACCACGCAAACACGCTTTGACCCTTTGAAAGTGTTACCCACAAACATCATTAAAGCGACGCGGTTTAAGGTGACACCGGTCGCACGAAGTCACCCAGTCCTGGGGCACAGGGAGCCCGGTGCGTGGTGCCACGCTCTCCGCCCGTCAGCGGAGCAGGGGAGGACGGCGGGGGAGAGGGAAAGGCAGCGTAGCGTTGCCCCCGCGGCTCTCAGCCAGGCCAGGCGTGGAGAGATGCTGGCCTTAATCCCGCTCGGGATGCAAAGGCCTCCTTGCTCTCCAGACGAGCGAGGGTGATTTGCGGAGAGCATTCTCTGGGAATATTACACCGCGGGGTGAGGAGAGAAGAAGGGCCAGGGATGCGCTGGCAGGGCCCGGGGGTACCCGCGGTCCGGAGGGAATAGAGCGCAGAACAGTTCCCGGGGCATATCCCCATGGCCCCCGACCAGGGCTGCAACCCAGACCTCCGGGAGCTCAGGCTTGGCCGCGGAAAGAGCGGGGAAGCCAGGAAGGGGGAGTCGCATGCGGTTAATTCCTGCTGCCTTTTCCCAGGGACGGACGTGTGCTCACAGAAGGCCGTGCAGGGGCCCCCGCCTCAGGACAGTCCCCAGGCTCCCCCTAACTGGCCCATCCAGCCAGGCTTCTGGCCCGTCCGGCCCCGCGCGGCTCCCGGGAAGCTCAGCTGAGGCAAGGCAGCTCCCCTCGTGGGCTCCCTCCCCTCACTCGTGACTTCTGCCCGCTCACTTTCGGAGGCACTTCAGGGCAAGGGGACTAGGAGGTGTGGGGTGCCCGTCACCACCCCTTTTTCACCAGTCACACACCCTGGAAAATGGACACTCCACTGTTCTGATGCGTCCAGAGCTACAGATTCAGGTCTAATTTCTCCAGAAAGAGGCCGATGACGGAGCTCGGCTGGGCGCAAATGGGAGCCAGGGAGGACCCGTGCCCGGCAGAGCAGTGTCCCCAGCGGGCAGGGACTTCCCGGGTGCCCTGGCATCCTACTCCAGAGCGCGGGCGGGGGACCTGCCTGAACCTCGGAAAAGAAACATCCCTGCAGCTGACGCTTCTACCAGGGCACGGCTCGGGTCCCTATTGCTCCCCACTCCATCCCCCACGCTCCCCGCGACCCCCGGTGCGCCTAATTAAATTGAGGAAAATTATCGGTGTGAGGTTGGACGGAGTCAACTGTCTTGACGACAGACCAGGATGTCTGAGCACGGCGGGGGAAGAGCAGCGGCGGGTTTCCAGCTCTTCCCTCCGGCCGGCGCCCACTGACGGCTCGGCGGGGGCTCCGCATCCCCGCGGCGCCGCCGCTGCCCCCGGCCCACATCCGGAGCCGCTGCTTGTCCCGCTCGCCCCACCGCATCTCCTCCGTCAGCTAGGCTGAACGAGAGGGGCATATGCAACTCCGCTTGCTGTCTACCGCAGGAAGCAGTTCCTGCAGATTCTCCCTGTCTTTTCTTCTCCTTTTTGTCTGACTCAGACGCCTTATTCCCTCCGCCAAGGCGGCATATAGGTGTTATTTCAAAGCGATCTTCTCTTCTGCCCAACTTTCCCCCATTCCGAGGTTAGCATCCATTATTAGGCAGGAATTATTTCGAAACAAGAAAACAACGTGTTGCAAACACTCCCCAGCCTATTTTCTGACATCTTTTGTTATGCATGCTCTTGCTGCTGGAGAAAATGCTAGTATGTGCACCTGCGAAAAAAACGCCTTCGTGATGTTAACAGCAAGCTGGAGGGTATAAAGCAATAAAACTGCCAAATGTACCTGTTCCTGTTGAGTACATTACCTACACCTATGAATAAAGAGACTCAGTAGGAATTCTTTCCTTTCTCTTCCCCTTTTCTCTATATTTTTATTCATTGTAGATTTGTAAACGCCTGGATCGGGTTACCCTTTCGCGTGTTAAAGTGGAACCCTTGTTAAAAGCCGGAGAACAAGGCAAGACACTTACAACTGCATTCAGAGTTACTGAACCGACTCCAAGGGCTCAAGAAGTGAAACAACGATGAGAGGGTGGCTAAGGGGGCTCAGAACATCCCAGCCACACAGGAAAAAAAGACATCCCTCCCCCATGCCCCCCTGAAACAAGCCATATGAACTACAAGCGCAGAGAGACTACGGGTTATGCCCTTGCACCGATAGAGCATCGCTTGGCATCCTCCTTCCCCCGCTTCCCCCCCTCCCCAACGGTATGCGAAGAGGGGGCTCACATCCTTCGGATTCCCAGAGCTAATGATCGGGCTGTGGGGAAGCACAACTCCAAGGTAAAGGAAAAAATTAAAAAGAGAAAAAAAATCCCAGAAAGAAAAATTAAAGCCCTCTAAGTATTTCCACAAGCGACGCGTTAAAAAAAAAAAAAAAAAAAAAAAAAAAAAATTAAAAACCCCAACATATATAAACATCTGCAGAATCTGAAAACCAATCCTCAGGGAATGTCGCAGTGAGAGGCAGTGTCAAGACCTGGGATCGGTCTGGGGACGTCTCTGGGCTGCGCCAGGTTTTGGGAGCAGCGGCTGCTGGTGCCGGTGTTGGTTTTCAAAGCCCGAAGCCTCCAGCCCCTTTCCCCATCTAGAGCAACTTTCGGATTTCTTTAGGCTTAGCGAGTTCCGCAGGGTCCTTCCTACCTCAGTCCTCTCCGGTGGGGTCTGTCTCTGGAGTTCATGCTTAGCTGGACGCGAGGAGATTTAAGCGAGGGAAAGGGGGGAAAAAAAGAGAGAGAGGGGGTGAGGGAGAGGGGGGAGAGAGAGGAGAGAGGAGAGAGAGAGAGATCCTCCGCCGTGCTGGATCAAACTTAATGTCTTTCCCTAGTCCATCTTTGAAAGAGAAGTGGTAATACCACCTGGATGTTCGGATATAAATCCCCTTGCAAATAATAAATGGATTAATAATAACAAGGTATGAAGTTCTTTTTATAGAAAAAAGGAGAGAATTGAAACTAAATGCGGCAGTTAGACAACCATTTTGATAAGAGGATAATTGAGGCGACACTGGTGTATAATTAGAGGATAATTTATGCTATATCCACTTTTATTCCACCTCCCAAAATAAACCCAGTCCATAATCATTACAGGCAAATTGTTCTGAATTTTATAGCAGCAATTTGAACAAAGTACTGCAGTTAATCATGGGAGATTTTTGTGTATTCCTGATTAGAAGTCTAATTGCCTCCTTCCAGAAAGTAAAAATAACTGTAAAACGACTCTATTTTTATCATTAACAATGTTGACAATAAAATAAAATCAACTGGAATTGTAATCTAAAGACAAATTTAGGGCGCAGGCATTTTTTTTTTTCCTTGGGTCGTTTATATCCTAATCAAGCTTTTTGCCAAAACCGCCAACCGCACGTAGCCATTTGCATATATTTGAAAGCCATTACGGGAGCTGCTGCTGCTGCTGCGTTCAGCGGGCAAAAATGCGCTGCGCGTCGCTTCGCCGCAGCGAAAATACCGCGCAAGGAGGCGGGGGGGAGGGGGGGGGGGCAAGGGGGGCGGGCGCGGGCTCCGCGCGCGCTGCCGGCTATGACGTCAGGGGGCCGAGTGACCAATGAGGGAGGCGCTGCCCTCCGGAGGCGAACCATTCGGCTCGCGCGCGTCCCTGCCCTTGGAGTCGGAGCGCCGGAGCCCCAACTTTCCCGGCTCCCACCTCAAACTGCCCCCACCCTCCACGCCCCCCCCCCAAAAAAAAAAGAAAAAAAAAAAAAAACAACACCCACCCCACGCGCCGGGGGGATGAAGGAAAAGAGCGGCGCAAAAAAGCGGCGGGAGTAGCCCGCCCTCCCCCTTCACACACCCCGCACACCGCCCTCCCCTTCCTCCCCTCCCTCAGTGAACGAGGCCCCTCGCACAACGGCTCCTTGGAGAGGAGGGGGGGAAGGAAAAAAAAAAAGGCGGAAAAGAAAAAAAAAAAAAAGAAAAGAAATTAAATTAAATCACCGCCGCCTCTCCAGCGGTGCCGCGGCGGGTAAGGGGAGCGGCGGTGGCTGGGCAGAGAGGAGGCAGAGCGCGGGGGGCGAGCCGGGGAGCACCGCGCTCTCCCTCCCAAACTTTGATGATGACCATGACTACGATGGCTGACGGGCTGGACGCGCAAGACTCCTCTAAATCCGCCTTCATGGAGTTCGGGCAACAGCAGCCGCCGCCGCCGCAGCCGCCGCCGCCGCCCCACTCCCAGCAGAGCTCGCCGGCAATGGCCGGAGCCCACTACCCGCTGCACTGCCTTCACTCCGCCGCCGGCTCGCACCCGCACCACCAGCATCACCACCACAGCTCGCCCTACTCCGGCAGCGCCGGCTCCTACAACCACCGCTCGCTGGCCGCCTACCCCTACGTGAGCCACTCGCAGCACAGCCCTTACCTCCAGTCCTACCACAACAGCAGCTCGGCCAGCCAGACGCGGGCGGACGATGCAGGTGAGCCGGCACCGCTTCCCGAACCCGCTGCCAGCTTCTCCCCCCGCTCCCTCCATCCCCGGGCCTCTTCCCGGCCCCCCCTGCGGGCACCTGCATACGACCCTCGCCGTGCCCCCCGCTCCCGCCGAGGCAGGCGCCAGCCCTGGGTGCGCGGACGGCGGGGAGGAAAGGTGGGGGGTGCCGTTTCCGCGGCCCCTCCGCGGGCCTACTGCTGCGGTACCGGCGGCGGGGCCGCCGCGCTCCCTCCGCGCCAGCGGCGGCTGCCGGCGGTACCGCGGCGCTGCGCGCCCGCGCCTTCCCCGCTCGCCCCGCGGCCGACGGCGAGGGGCTGCGCTCGGCGCTCCTTTGTTACGGCGGGACCGGCTTTAGGCAAAATTCCTGCTAACACCTGAGGAGTGAAAGTTTCCAGGCGAGCGGGTCGCATTCCGCTCGGGGGCCGTCTGATTTATGTATTTCTTTTTTTGCAGGGAGACGCACATATCCATCCAGAGGGGCACGGGAGGGGTGCGGGGGGGAAAGCATTGTTAAAAGTCTCGGACTGGTGATTCACTGACCACCAAACTGGCGACGCGAAGTCAATTAGCCGAGTAAAACCTGGATGGCCCTGGAACGAGGCATACCTTCGCAAAGCCAGTGCTGCACTTTAAATTTTAAAAAGTGTTTCCATTTTTTTTTTTTTTTTTTTCTTCCCGGCAAGAAGGAGAGCGTGCCCACTATGCCCGGCCAGCTGTTTTTTCTCCCGGTAGCTCCCAAGCGGCAGCCCGTGCCGCGCGTGCCTGTAAGGAGATGCAGCCTGCGCCTCCGCCGTGGGGTTAAACAGGCATCGGGACGGGCTTTGGCGTTTTCAGGAGCCGTGGCAGCCAAAATACCCGCGTTTAATAGCTAAGGAGGGTGATGTTTCAGCTGTGTTGTTTTGCTTGCAGATCAGCAAAAAACCACAGTGATTGAAAACGGTGAAATCAGATTTAATGGAAAAGGGAAAAAGATTCGGAAGCCTCGAACCATTTACTCTAGTCTACAACTCCAGGCTTTAAATCATCGCTTTCAGCAGACTCAGTACCTGGCACTTCCAGAGAGAGCTGAACTGGCAGCTTCATTAGGACTTACCCAGACACAGGTAATTACTGGGAATTCCGAATCACTGAAATCCTGCTCGAGCAACAAAGGCCAAGCAAAGCATGATGCTCCCTAAACATTTTGGCCTCTGTCGGGAACGGTAGAAAAGGTAAAGCACACGGTTCCCGTCTCTCTACGCTAGGACTTTCCGCGGCAGAGATCGGGCAGCCGCAGAAGGAGCTGCAAGCTCCCTTCCCTCAGCCGACTGCGAGCAAGCGCTCCCTTTCGATGCCACGCATAACGTTAAAAAATTGCCTATATTTTCGGATAATTCCAGCACTGAGATGCAATTGCCCAGCTGTGAACAGGAGAACAAAACAAAGGCAAGGAATCGCTGGGCCTGAGGTAGAGCTAAAAGCAAAGCTGCCTCGTCGCAACGCGTATAGGTAGAGGGGAAGCAGGAACGCGTTAGGAAATACCTGTTAAATCAATAGTTAATTCACCCGGGATGAGTAACGCAAATGCAGTGGTTAGCCTTGGGCAAAATGTACGGAAGGTGATAATAGATCTGAAGATCAAAGACAGCCGTGTACAAAATTATGGCAGGTTAAGCCATAGTTAAGTGTGGTTGGAGTAGCTGTGCCATTCTGCTAATTTAAGCTTGAAAGACATATGAGGCATTACAGGCTTACCAGGCTGGGGTTTGTGGAGAAGTGCATGGATAGATGGGATCAATCCGGGCAAAATGTTATCATGTGAATCTATGAGCCCAGCAAATAACTTCGGGATTTTATCAATGTCATTGGTAACAGTCTCTTCCAGACAGCGATTTTTAAATACTCGGCAAACATTAATGATGGGAATGGGCCTGATGGTTTTGCAAATGGGATTTTAGTATCCTCGGCATGCACGCTCTGTCTCACTGCTGTCTCTCTTTCTCGCTCGTATGCATAGATTTTTTTTTGGGGCCCAATCCTGATCTTGCAGCTAGAGAAGTACCCCTGCTTATCCCCTAACATTATGATTGCAAAGTTTGAGAGGTCAAATACGCATGGGGAATTTGTTTTCTATGTTTGACTGATTAAAAAAAAATAAATTCTGTATTAATGTCTTACCTATATATAATTGGTATGATAATTCTGACCTGCCAGTGGGCCTGATCCTTGCACACCTTATCGAGTGCAAGCTCCCTCTTCGGGAGTTCTGATGGGTTAGGAGCAGGATGAGACCCAAAGTAATGTTGATATGCTATTACTTACAGAGAAAATAAAAATATTATTTCTTTAATTATCCATTTTAATATAAAGCCGCAATCCTGGTTCTATTATGCCTCCTTCCCTGCCACATCAGCATGGACTGCTTGACCTGATCGTGAGGATTTCAGAAGCACAATTTCTTTGTAAGATGCCCTTTGTCTATTGGCTCTTGTCTCCTGGCACAAAATCATATGATTGCCCATGTTTGACAACATTTTGCCCGAACGATCAAATGACCTCCAAAATTCTGAATAAGGTGCTAAAACAGGAGACCTCAGAGCATGTGGTCTGCTCAGGGAAACAACAATCTGGCCTGCTCAGGGAAAACAACGTCCCAGGTTAAAACCTGCATCCCTCTGGCTTTCCAGCTCTGCTCTGCCTCCCCTGTTCTCTCCAGCTTCATCCAAAGCCCGAGAGCAGCCGTAGCTACCTCTCCTTCCCCTCTCCCCATCCCCAGCTGCACACCTGACTGGCGTGTGCCCTCAAGACTTTCTCCAGATTAGAGCCCCGGCCCCCAGGGTCTTCCCTGCTGTGCCCTGGGCGCTGACGGCAGCCTAATATCTAATGCGTTTCGGTTTACAGGTGAAGATCTGGTTTCAGAACAAGCGCTCCAAATTCAAGAAGCTGCTGAAGCAGGGCAGTAACCCCCACGAGAGCGACCCTCTGCCCGGCTCCGCTGCCCTTTCCCCTCGCTCTCCGGCTCTGCCTCCAGTCTGGGACGTTTCAGCCTCTGCCAAGGGAGTCAATATGCCTCCAAACAGCTACATGCCTGGCTATTCTCACTGGTATTCTTCTCCACATCAAGACACAATGCAGAGACCACAAATGATGTGAATTGTCCAAGAGAAATAATCTCCCAAGAACGCCTCGTCTCGACATGGCAAGAAGTTCCCCTGCTTTGCCAAGCCGTGCCAGCTAACAGGCTCTGTGTGAACTTGTAGATGCGGCAAAGAGACAGAGTGGCTTTATTTTTTTTTTTTTTTTAAGTAACCTCAGCGATTGATCTTGAACAGAAAGACACAATTTTCATTCTGGCGCACAGAAGACACTTCTCTTTAGGATATTTTCCTTTGGACTCCAAGGCACCAGCCTCTTTCTCTGTGGAGTATACGTCAAAACAAACTTTTTACAGATTTTGCCCACAAGAACCTGAATCTACCATGGCAGCCGTTTTTACTTGTTTAATGAGCTAAAGACATTACATGATGAAAGAGAGACTAGTCAAAGCTCCTTCATTTTTATTCACCAAATCCGAACTGGGGAAAGGATTAAAAGACAGAAGATGCGATTGTAAACGTCCAGATTATGGGGGAGGGAGGGGGAAAGAAGAACTGGTTGAAAAAATGCAAATATACTGTAAGATTGGAACATTACCACGAAGCAAAATCTGCATGCTTTCTCAAAATGTAATGGGCTGCGGCTCAGAAGAAACCACCGTCTCTCACTCGAAGAGCCCCCTCATCCGCACCGACCCGCACCCGCACACAGCCGGACAGTCTCCCGGAGACGAGCAGCCAAGACAGAGCGAGGGATTCGCGGCCAGACCCGCCGCCGCGGGCTGGGGAAGGACGGTTCAGCGCTGCCCGGCGGCAGCCTCAACCACTGAGCGAGAGGGACCTTTCCCCGAGCAACCTTTCTGTATATATTGTTGAATTTTAGTTGTACATATACTTTGTATGTTTTTGTCTTCTTTCATATATAGAGTAAAAGCCACAAAACGCCCGCCTGGCTCCTATTTCTCTTCACCTTAGCGGATCCCCACCTGCCCCGACTTGCCCCCCAGATCAGTCCGGGCAGAGGGATCCTTGTGCCCAGCTTGCCTGAGTGCACAGACACCCCTACAAAGCATATATCTGCAAGCAAAGAAAGAAAAGATGAAGTGGGGTGGGGTAGCTGGTGGTTTAGTTGGTTTTAAGGCTACGACTCAAAGACAGGAGGTACCGAGTCCACAAAGATACGCCTAGACGAAGTTCCTAATCACCCGGCCATTTCTGCTGCGATTTTACTGCTCCGCTGCTTAGCTGAGCTTTCTCGCCGAGGGAAAGCTTAGAGCCCTGTCTTTCTTCCCAAAGGTTGGAGACTCCAAATTATTAAGAAAGAAGGCGCCCTCCTTTGTTTCAAAGAGCAGACAATGCAAGCTGAGGAATGTTTTGCAAAGCCCTGAGAGGTGCCCAGGCACACAACACGCTGTCCAGCCAGCTTCAGCCGCACCGGCTTGTGGAAAGCACAGCAACAACTGACAATGAAAAGCCTTTTCCTCATCCAAGCTGGGTGCCCCATACTGCGAGAATTAATGGCTAGAGACCTGGGCATCCTTCAAATTATGAACCTTGAAACCACTGAGCCATTTATCAGAAGTCAATAGAGATCCTCAGAGTGCTCCATATAATGACAGCTACATACAGTCGTGCAAAAGGACAGTCACTATAATTAGACACAAAGCAAAGACTACTTACCAATATACCAGTTTTTTGGGGGGTGTTTTTTGGTTTGGTTTTTTTTTTTTTTTGAGCAACTTCCACGCTCAGTCAGTCTTCAGAGTGCTTTAAAACCGATCAGTCTTGTCATTTTCTACCATTCGTATTGTTACATTAGGAAAAATGTTTTCTTTTCTTTTTTTCCCCTTCCCACTGTGAAACTTTGGGTTCAGAGCTCCCCAGGATCAATTCTGAACAAAGCCTCCAGCTGCAGTGCCATCCAATTTGAAGCAGACATTGGGGACAATTTAAGGTTTTTATCCACAAGAAGGTTTTTTTCCATTCTCTTAAATGCAGCCATAATTAGAGTAATTTTTCATGTAGCCCGCTGATTACAGCGTTTTTACCGTCAAAGATAATTACCTGTAATTTTCTTCCACTTTTAATACTAAAAAGCCATCTTTATTTAGATTCAGGAACAGGAAAGGCGAAACAAAAGAGGAAAATTATTCTGTTATTCATACACAAATTGCAGAGACGTAGGGCCTAAAATTGAAAATTAACCAAAATTATAATGCTGAAAAGAATGGAAGAGGCTTCAGAAGTACAGCTGGTAGTGGGGCTCACTGAATTATTCAAATGACACTGGAGAGAAAGCTACCATACATTTAAACCAACAGCATTGTGTGCATCTTTCAGAAAACCCCGCTTTACACCGCCCTCCCCCCAGGCCGGCCCCTGTGCGGGCTCCCCCTCGCCTCGCACAAGGGCGGCGGTGCCCAGGCGAGGAGTCCCGGAGCCCGGGGAGCCCGGCCCGCCGCTCCGGCCCCCGCAGGCGCTTTAACCCTTTCGCTGCGTGCTCCCGGCGGGCGCGGGGCGGGGGAGCGGGGCTGCGCTGCCTCTCGTGGGCTTGCGGGGGCTCGTCCTCCCCTGCACGCCGCGCGTGGGTGCCGCATCGGAGAGCCTCCGGCTGCGTCGTGCCCTCCTCCCCCGCGAGTGACTCCTCAAATAGGCTCAGAAAAAGCTCAGACAACAAGCAAGCGAGCGAGCAAATAAAAGATAACAATAATAATAAAAGCCCCGTTAGCTTAGTGGCGTGGGAGAAGGTGGGAAAGGTAGGCCTCCCCGGGAGCGGGGTGGGAGTGAATGGCAGCAGCGGCTCCCACTCGCGCGGCAGCCGCCCCGGGAGACTCTCGTGAAACAGCGTCATCTATGGATGGAGCAGCGGCAGCTCCCCACGCCAGCACCAAACCTGCCGCCGCCGGGCTGCCAGCGCCGGCTCCGCCACCGCCCCGGGGCCGCGGAGAGCTGCGGAAAGGCGCGGAAAGGGGGCGGAAAGGCGCGGAAGGGCGCGCTGCCGCCGCCCCGCTGCGGGCACGGGCGGACGGGGCTGGCCCGGGGTTCGCACGGTTTCTCCGCCGGCCGCCGAGTCCCGCGCCGCCCCTCCGGCAGCCCGTCCCGTCGGGGCTCCCGCCGCATCCCGCCGCCCCCGGCAGCATCGGGGGAAAGGGGGCGCTTATCTGTCGGGGTCCGGCCGGGGAGGTAAACCACCTGCGCGAGAATGACCGCCAGTGCCGGGGAGCAAAGACGGAGCGCGCCTCGACGGGCAAGGCGCGGAGCAGCCACAAACCAACCCCAAACCCAAGCGAGCCCCAAAACTTACCCCTCTGAAAATCTGCTAAGCAAGGATCGGGGTCTAGAAATCTGCACTGAACAGAAGCAGTGGAGAATATTTTTCTGAGTCTCAGGGCAGAAGCTCTTTCTCTATATTCTTGGTTGAGTGAGCACATCCAGGTGTGAAATTGTTTGCACACCCCAGCACCTCTTATATTGCCAGCAAAATTAGCTGTTATTACTGTCACTGTTTAGTGATGGTTAGCTTGATAAAAAAAACCTGCTGTAATCAAGACCTGGCGCATCTTTGCAAATTACAGATAATTGTAAACGTCCAGATTATGATAATAGCATCCTAATCCAGCCTGCAATATAATTATTACAGAGTGTTACATCTGAAACTGTCCAGTAGGGCTAATTCAGCCATTATTTAGACCCTATTTTTGCACTGCAAATGGGTTGCTGAGTTGAAAATGTACGATTGTAATTTCACGGGGCACTCAATGAGTAATGGTATAGGGAGGGAAAAATACAAAAGTGAAATGTGAACAGTAGCGATCAAATCAAACTCTGAAGGACAAAAGACTGTTTGATTCATAGGGAATGAGAAGAGCGGGAATTAAGAAAATAGCAAATCAGTGGTCTGCAGCGTTACGTGTCCAAATCTCAACGACTGCGAGCCTGATGTGCAGTCAGGGACTGCTGGGTTCGGCTCCCGCCTTGCATCAGTCCGCCTCTCGGCTCGGCTCTTCCCGGCAGCCTCTCCCCGGCACCCGAAGCATCCCCGAGCTCCCCACCCATCCCCAAACGAGGGCTCGCCATTGTCTTTGTGCCTCCCCTCAGGTGACTGAGCGTCACTTTCGGGCAAGAAGCCTCGGGAGCTTCGGAACCGGACGGAGGAGAGCGCGGGGTGCGGGATGCCAGCGCGGGGTGCGGGATGCCAGCGCGGGGTGCGGGATGCCAGCGCGGGGCACTCTCCGCGGCTGGCTGTGGAGCCGGCGGCCTTTTGCGCTGCCGCGCACCCGCTGGACCGGTCCTCAGGGGTCCTTAGGGAAATTATCACAGAACCGACTCAATTGTAATTAATTAATCAAAAGAGCCTGGCTAACAGGACTACCTGCAGCTAGCGAGGTTAACTCACTGGGCTAGTTGGCTTTCGACTCCTGATTAACTTTTATTAACCCTGAACACGAAATACACAAACCCGCTTCATTTTTTAATGACCTAAATCATCAAAGCGCGGTTGCCGCCGGACCGGTTGGTCTCCGGTTGGTCTCCGCAGGGTCCAGATGAGAGGAGGGAGCTCCCGGGGCCGGCCCCATGGGCAGGAGCGCTGCCTCCCCGGCCCTTGCTGGCCTCTCCCGACCGCAGCCGCTCCTGACAGCCTGCAGTCTAACTCCGCGCCCTTTTCTCCGTGCGCATTAGTAAAAACCAGGAGAATAAAAGAAAGCTCAGTGGATAGCGCGAGGAGAAAACCCTATAAAACGCGTTGTGCGGTACGTATCGATGAGACGGTAAAGATCTCCTGGAATGGAGGGCCATCTCCGCAAGCAGGCGGATGATGCCGCTGCAGAGCACGAAGCCGGGTCAGCATCCGGCCCGGAGAGGCTGGCTGAGCTATCCTGCAAAGCCCAGGCTGAGCTTTAGACAGCCTCTCCGGGAGCGCTGAGGGGCAGGCAGCAGCGGGAGAGGAGCGAGAAGCCACCCCAAGCTCTTCTTCGCCAAATGCCCAGTCTGTGGCAGGGGCCGGCACTCTGGGCCCTCACCTGAAGGAGGTGAGGGAGCCACGAGTTTTACCCGCGGCTTTGAAGGTCGTGTCAGTGGAAGGTGCTCTCACAGAGAGCCGGGGCGTGGGTGCGTGGCGGGATTTATCAGGTCTGTATTGCAGGCAGATAAACTATTGTTTATCATCCTCTCCGAATCACGTATAAATAGACACATCACTGAACAAAGAGAACTATTTAACTGATGCAACACAGATCTTCCGTAAAAAAGGAGAGAGAAAGAGAAGCTTAATGTAAACTTCGCGTTTCCTATTTTCGCGGCTCTTATCTGACCTATAAAACAGGTTATTGAGTTACTGCAAGCAATCGCTTAAAGGACTGAAAGCAAGAAGAGGGGGTTCCCACACCCCCCCGCCCCGATTTTCCTGAAGCAATAGATCTCCTTTCCTTAATCCACAACCGAAACACCTAAAGTCTGTCAGTCGCAAAATTGCGTGGCAGAAATCTTTAATTGATGCCACATGTGGGATGCACTCTGGGGACGCGGCGCTGCCGGCGGTGGAGCGGGCAGAGCGCGGAGGCCGCGGCAGCGCGGCCGCGGGGGAGAGAGCGCACGGGGGAGACCGAGGGGAGTAAGAGGGCGACAGGAACGCCTGACAAGCGGGCTGCCCTGCCGCGGTGACAGGTTGGAGAGGGTGTTTTTTCTTTCCCCGGGAAGGAGCGGGAGGGAAACCGAGGCGCTCGGCGACAAGACAGCGCTTCCCGGCTGGAGGCTCTGCCCGCGGGCGGTGCGGGCAGATGCCCGGGCAGGAGCGGGGGGCTCGGGCGGAAGGGGAAGGTGCTCCTCCCGCGGCCCTAGGTGGGGGTGGCGGGCACTGAGTGTGTCTGGGTGTGGGTGATGTAGGTGTGCGTCCCAGCCGGGGGTAGCGCAGCCGCGGGTGGATTTGCTGTGGGTGTGAGAGCCCCAAGGGGGGCAGGCAGTGTCAGGAGCTCTCGATCCGGGGAAGTGGGGGCTGTCGGCTGCTCTGTGCGTGTGTGTCTGTGTGTCTGCGCGCCTGTGTGTGTGTGTGTCAGGCCCTGTGGCTCAGCCCTGGAGCCGCTCGGCACCCACAGGAATGTGGCTCCTCTCGGCTCCCCGAACTGCCCCGGCTCCACATGGAAGTGGCCGCCAGGAAAACAGAAGGGAGGGGAAGAGGGGGAGGGGCGGGGAAAGCCCCGAGCCAGCAATGCGCCGAGCCCAAACCCAGCATCAGACAAAGGACAGTTCATGCCATCCCTTTCCCGGGGAAAAAGGGGGGAGGCCTGGCCCAGCTAGGCTCCCTCCGGCCGCCGCCGGAGCCCAGGGGGTGCGCCCAGGCAGGAAGAGGCGCCGGGCTGTGCCTGCTTGTGTGTGTGGGGACAGAGGGAACAGGAGCATCCCCCCGGCCCGGGGCTCTCCCGGAGGGGCGGGCGGCCGTAGACTCTGGGTGTTCATTGAGGTCGGGGCCACTCGACGGGGAGCCCCGGCGAGGGCATTTCTTATCCTCTCTAGGGGAGGGATGCCAGGCTTTTCCCGACCTGCCCAACACCAACCCGCTCTGGGAGGAGGAGAAATTAAACAGGGAGGGGGACCGGCATGGAAACTAAGCAGAGCTGACTCGGCTGGCTTGGAGAGGCGAGCGATGCCCAGTCCAGCGGCCGCGGCGTGAGTTCCCATTTCTGCCCGGTATGCCGCTTGCCGGCATTCCGCCTTCCCGGAGCTGTTTCTGCGCTGTCCGTCCGGGCCGTCCCGGCCTCGGCAGGTTACCGTAACCCAACAGCTCCGCTGCAGCTCCTCAAAGAAAGGGGTGGGTGGACCCACCTGGGAAATTGATTTCCACCTCCTGTGTCCAAACCTTTCTGCAAAGGGAAGTGACCTCCGGGAGGGGAGAATTTCTTACTGCAGGTTGAATGCTTGTCTAGAGGGAAATGAGGAAAAGAGCGGAAGAAAATGAAAGGGTCAAGTTTAAAAAAAATTTTTTGCACAGGATGGAAGTGAGCAGAAGAGATGTGTCGCGGGAAGTCCCTGAAACCTTGCGAGTTAAATGAGCAGGAGACGGTCACCAGAAGGCGGAAGGGATGGGGAACGGCGGGGCACCGCGGCAGGGCGGCCGCTCTCCGGCAGCGGGCAGGGGTGGGCAGCCGGGAGCGGCCCCCGCCGCCCTGCCTCCGGCACCCCCGCACCCTCCCCGGCGTGCAGGGAGCACAACTGAACAAACTGGTCTATTGTACTGCAAGACATTTACCAACCCCCAAACCTGCTGCAAAACAGCAAACGCGGGCTTCTTTCTTTAGGGAGAAAACTGCGCAAACCACACTCACGCACACGCACAAAACATGGCAGGCAGGAGAGGAAGGAGAAAAAAGGAGGGGGAGGGCAGAGGGGAGGAAGACTGGAGATAGGTAAGTGCGCCCCAGGGCAGGAGCGTGCCTTTTCAGGCCTCGCCTCCCCCCCTTCCAGCACTCTCCCCGCCAGCCTCAGCTGCCAGAGGGGCATCTTTCATCTCGGGGATCCTTCCAGCGCCGCCTTTGGCACGTTCACTGCTGTACCCCGCACGGCCGTGAATTACCACTGCCCCCTAGGATGGGGGTCCCCGTGGGAACGTGCGCCACCGCGGGGGCCCCGCGGGCCAGGATTTCGACTGGAAGAGAGCCCGTGCGAGTGCTCCGCGCCGGTGGGCAGCACTCCGGCCATTCGCCCAAGCCGTGCCTCCAGCACTGGGCAGCGCTAGCGACTGCTTTGACGCAAGGGTTTTTCCCTAAATCGTGTAGAAATAAAACAAAAACAATAAAAGTACCTCTGAAACGTTCCTCCTTCAGTCGAAGCCGCCGCAGGCTTTTAGCAGGAGCGAGGGGAGCGGGGCCCTCATTTTATTCTTTTCTCATATTTAGTGGCTCCCTTTGACGGAAACGTAATTTGTATAATTAGCCGAGCGCACACGGGCGACTGATGGGCTGTGGAGTGTGCAGCTCTCGACGCTAATTGCTCTCAGGAAAGGATTCAGGGCGGCTTAAGGCGAGAGATTCGCTTTCTCGCATCAGGACGGGCAGCTTTCCCTTCAGCTTAAAGCACTGTGCAGTAAGATGTACGCGGTCTTGCCAGAGCCCCTTTCCCAGCGGGGAGAGAGCACCGCCGCCCCTCGGCTCGCCCGTGGGTACCTGCAAGGGCCAGATCCTGCCAGCACGCCCGGACTGAGGTGGCACTGGAACAGAATGTGAACTCCCAGCTCCCATCCTCTTTCCTCACTTTCTTTCTGCAAGCAAATTAGTATTATATTTTTTTTCCTCTTATTAATAGAAGAAGGGGTAATTTGGAAACATTTCTCTTGGTCGAAATAATTTTATTTTATTCAGAATATACAGTTTAATTCCTCTATCTACAATTATTTACAGGGTTAAAATAACATTGAAAAAAGTCTCTGGAAAAGTTGAGGTCATAGATTTCAAGGCACCAATGATAGTGTCCACAGCTGAGCCAAAAAACGTCCGTATTGTATAAAAAAGGGTTTCCTTTGAAATGCAATAAGTTACATGCACAAGCTTTACACATTTTAATCTTTTTGTTTGTTTCTTTTCCCTTTAAAAAATTCCCCATATGCATTCCTTTCGTTATTATTCCTTAACAGTAAAACACAGGAGTCCAAGGAACAACAACAAAAAAAAAAAAAAAAAAGGGTCAGGCTCTAATAAATCGTCCCAGAGGCCAGCGCTAACGGGTGCTGTAGGGAGCCATGGGGTTGGAGATGGGAGTTGATGGAGTTGGCAGCGGGGTACCAGGAAGTGGAGCTCTCCAGGTAGCTGGATGCAGGGGACGGGTTGGAGTTTGGAGGGTGAGCGTGTGCGTGGGCATGGTGGCTGAGGGAGCGGGACGAGCCCTGAGGTTCCCAAACCGCAGGTGACTGTGGAGAGTTGCAGGCCATGGGGTCGCTGGAGCTGGGGCTGTGCTCCGGAGGCATCTCCCCGTTTTTCATGATCTTCTTGATCTTGGATCTTTTATTCTGAAACCAGATTTTCACCTGGGAGCGGGGCGGGAAGAGAGGAGAAGGGAGGAAAGGGGGAGTGGGGAGGGAAAGCGACACCATTAATGCCCGCCTGGCAAGCCGGTGCTCCGCGGCTGCGGTGCCCCGCCGCCCTCCCGCCCTTCCGCGGGGCCGATCCAGCCCTTCCCGCCGCGCCGGGCCGAGCCCGGGTTCTGGACCCGCAAAACCGAGCCGAGTCGAGCCGAGCCGAGCCGCTCGCGGTACCTGTGTTTGCGTGAGTCCCAGGGAGGCTGCCAGCTCGGCCCGCTCGGGCAGGGCGAGGTACTGGGTCTTCTGAAACCTTCTCTGCAACGCTGCCAGCTGAAAGCTGGAATAAATAGTCCGGGGTTTGCGCACTTTCTTTGGTTTGCCGTTCACCATCCGCACCTCGGGTTCCGCCACCTCCTTCTCTGCACGGGCGCAAGAGCAGGAGAGAGAGTCAGACGTTAAGTTCGGGACAGGCTCCGCTCCGCGCAGCCTGCGCCGCCGGGGCGGCATCCCGCCCGCGGGCCGGGCCGGGCAGCGGCGCCGGCCCGACGGGCCCCTGCGGCTCCCCCCGGGGCTCCCGCAGCCGCTCCCCGCGGTGAGACGGGGGGGAACCCGCTCCCTCCACACCGGCCTCGGCCACCCCCGGCCCTCCTCCTCTGCCTCCCACGCCAGCCCCGGGCATCCTGCCGGGCGCGCAGCGCTGCGCGGGCGGGAGCGCAGGGCATGCGCGGCCGCCTCGGGCGTTGGGAGGATGGTTGGGGCCCTGCTGGGAAGAGCTCTGTCCGGAGCGAAGTCGGACCCAAGGCATCGACCACTTCCTCCGCACAGCCGCGCCATCCCCCTGCCGCCGCCGGCGTGTCCCCAAGCGCCGCCGCGACCGCACTCGTCCCAGCCAAGCCCCAGCCGCTTGGCTTTACCACGGGGTTGTTTATTTTTTTTTCCTCCCTGACCCCTTCTTTTTTTTGCTTTTTTTTTTTTTTTTTTTTTTTTTTTTTTTTTTTTTTTTTTTTTTTTTTACCTACAGCAAGTTACAAAGAAGTAAACCCGCGACTCTTTCTGGTGAAAAACCCTCTCGGCTTCGCAGCCCCGCCACTGCTGGTCTCCCCCTCCCAGTCTCCTCCCCCGCCCCTCCAGCACAGGGGGAAGGAAACTTTCTTCAACACCGCGAACCTGAGTTTGAGACACGCAACAAGGCTCGGCTATTTTCTCCCTCTTCCTGCGGGGGAAGGAGGAGGGAGGTAGCCGTAGGGGCCCGGGGGCAGCTGACAGAAGCGCTAAAGCACTAGTCCTGCAGTTTATAGTTTAGATCATGCGGGCTGGTCAAAAGAAGTAGACCAGTAAACCAGTTCTCCACTTTTTTTTCCCCTCCCAATTTTCTTCCCGCCCCCCCCCCCCAATTTATTTATTTATTTTTAGTTTCCCTTCTGGTTCAGGGAAAGCCGCATCCCCGTGCTCCGTGGGTCGGGGATCTGCTGGGGCGCGCTCCCCCAGCCTCCCCAAAGCCGCGGGAACTCCCCGCACACCCCGGGCCCCCGGCCCTCACCTGGCTGGCTGGCGGAGCTCTGGACGCGGTTGTAAGCCCCGCTGTACTGGTGGTAGGGGCTGGCGTAGCTGTAGTCTGCATAGGCTTTGGCAGGATAGTTCCCGGCAGATCCGTTCATGCCGTGGTACTGATACTGGTAGGGGTTGAGCGCTTTGCCGTAGGAAGCCGAGGTAGGCGAGCAGTAGCCGTGCGGGGCTCCCCCCGCCGGGCTGTAGTAGTCGGAATCCGTAGCGGAGGACTCGGGTAAAGTGGGAGATTCCTGGGACGGGTGGTGCATGGCTGCAGCCGTCTGGAAAGGAGCTTGGAAGTCGCCGGATCTGATGTTGGGGACCCTTCTGTCAAATACTCCTGTCATAGCTCGGAGCCGGGCGGGCTGGGGCTGGCGGCGGGGCTGCTCGGGTCTAAGCAGACATGTCTGGGGGAGGAGGCTGCGGCGCGGTGTCTGTCTCCGGCAGACTGCTGGCTGGGGCGCAGCATAGGCTTGGTTAAATCCTTAATTGCGCTCTTACGCACAGCAGGGTGGATCGGGTTCCATTGGCCAGAGCAATCGGGAGCAGCGACACCCTAACTCGTCCAACTAGTTTAGCACAACAAAGCTTTGGCTTAAAAACAAAAAAAAAAAAAAAAAAAAAAAAAAAAAAAAAAAAAAAAGAAGAGGGGGAAAAAAAAGGAGGAAAAGAGTCCCATTCAACCTCTTTTTAAAGTGAATACCAACAGCAATCTGCGAGTCGGAGCGCCGCGATTGGGAGGTTTCCGGCTCCCCCCACCCCCGTAGCCGGCGAGGGGGCTCGGCCAGCCCCGCCGCCCCGCTGCCCCCGCACCTCCACCGCAGCGCCCGGGGGGAGGGCTGCAGCCACGCCGCTCGGATTTGCCGTCCGGTCCCCCTTGGCTACGCTGATGGCTTGGGAACACCGCACCGGGCGCTCCTGGTTCCAACTCGATTTCTGATCTGGTGACAATAACCATTTAGCGTCTGACCGTGCTGTTTCCCTCGGACCGTCCTCCTTTCCCGGGGAAACGTCCGGGACCTCCGCGCTAAATAGAGCAAACCCTATTACCCCCAAGTACCTTGAATTTTAGTTACATCATTTCCTGCATTTCCAAGACCCTAGCACGGCCCGGAGCCAGCGGGAGACTCCCGGCATAATGCCCTGCCGTCGGGGTGTGGGGGAGCTGCTAGTGGCACCATACGGCCTAGGGGCACTTACCCCGCGGATTTCGGCAAAGGCAACCTGTCCGTGGCACGGTGCCCGTGGCTGGAGAGCCCCCGACTCTCTCGCCAGCTCCGGAGCCCCTCAAAGTTCGCTGGTGACCTCTCGGCCCCACGAACGTGCGTTCCTCAAGCCTCCGGGGCGATGCTCGCAGTCTAGTCTGCCTCTGGCCCAGGGTCAGGAGCCCCTCACGAAGGGAGCTCAAATCGCCCTCACGCGTGGGCAGGACCACTGTGAGGCCGTCGTGGGGCTTCTCCACTCGGGGGCTGTCGTAAGAGCCCGCTTTCCGGGTGACAGCCCCACAGAAGCGACCGGAGCTGAGCGGAGAATCGTCCCCACAGCGCTCCGGCCAGCAGCACCCTCCTTCACCTGCACGCGGTCGTTCTCCCGCACCCATCCACGCAGCCAGGTCCCAGGCAGCGCCCTTCGTGTCCGGGCCGGGGAGAGCCACGGGCTGGTGATGCCCGTCCCTGATGATTTCGCAGCAGTGTTGCAAAACAAAAATAAAATTAAAAAAAAACTTAAAAAAAAAAAAAAAAAAAGGATCAAATTTTACTAGACACTAAGGAAAACAAATAAAAGGCTGTTTTCAGTGACCTGGAGTTGTAGATTTTTCTGAAGTTGTTTACTCTCCAGATTTAGCCTGTTTGCTCACCGAAGATCTCCCAGCCAGCTGAGTAACACTTGTAACACAACCGTGCATGTTGTACTTGAACTTATTGTTTGCTTTGGAAATGTCCACAGCTCATATAAAATCATATTAAACAAATCCCTAAGCATTTCATTACATGTTTCACTTACTTAAATCCATTGGAAATATCTCTCCCCCCTCTATTTTTTCCCTTCCCCCCCCCCTTTTTTTTTTTTTTTTTGCAAAGAGAGGAATCAGAGAGGGATATGTGTTTATGACTGGGGAAGGGGAGAGTAAGTTTATTAAAGCTCCCAGTTTGCATCCAGTTAAAAGGGACGGTAGAGGTTTTAAGCAGACGTAGAGGGGGAGAGGGGGAGGAAAGCCCATTTGTGTCATAAATTCCAGGGCACTGCACTTCAACACGTTCGGGCAGGAAGGTGCCGTTTTAGGGGAGAGAACGGCAGAGGAGCTGGGCGCCGGTCTCGCACCCAGCCTCGGCAGCTCTGGAGCCGCGGCGGGTTCTGGCCAAGCCGTCCCGACAGGCTGCTTGTACAGCTCACCGGGGAAATCTGGATCTCTGCGCAGAGAAAGTTTCCTCTTGTTTTATTCAGTAGCAGGGCAGAGAAAAAAAAAAAAAAAAAAAAAAAAAAGCTTCGATATTAAGAGGAAATAAAAAAAGGCAGAAGCCCAACAGATCCAACCGCAAACCCCCCAAGCTGATTTTTTTTTTTCTGAAGGCATCCGCCGCCGTTGCAGTCCGTGCGAGGATTACCGGGCTGAGGGCACACAAATCCGCCTGTTTGCGGGTTTCCTGCCCCCCGTCCTTCCCAGGCCGAACCCGATTTTCTTGCCTTTCTGCTGTTTTCCCCCAGCGGTTTTTATTTAACACATCCGGTGGGAGCGGGCGGTTCGGAGGGAGCCGGAGTCTGTTTTCCATTTCACAATACGGTCATTGTTTACCGGCACATGCCCGCCGCGTCGCCTGAGCGGCTGCCCGGGGCCCCCGCGGCCCGTTCGGGCCCGATCCCCGCTGCCCCTCGGGGGAGGTGGGCGCTGTGTCCGTGCGTCCGTGTATCCGTGTGTCCCGGCAGCGCCGCCGGGCGGCGGCGGGCGCGGAGCCGGGCGGCCCCGCCAGCGCTGTCCCCTCAGGGCACGGGGACCGGGGCGCGGGAGCCGCCGGGCCGGCGGCCGCGGCAGGACAACGCGGCGATTGTTCCCGCCTGCGCCTGGGAGCTGCCGCGGGGGCGGCGCTGGGGCCCCGACCGAGAGAGCCCCGCGGCGGGACGGGCGCTGCGTCCCGGCCGGTGCCCGCCGGCCGCCCCGCCCTGCCCCGCTCCTGGTCGGGAGTATCCCACCGGCTGAACCCTCGGCCCGGGTTCACGGAGGGCTCTCCCTCCGTCCCCTCTCGCTCTGCAGCGCTTTGTTTCCGGCCAACGAGAGAAATATTTCGGATGAGCCTCTCAGACTTTTGGATAAAGTCTTGCAATTGTTCACAGAAAATCTTTCACTTTCTGGATAAAATATTCTCTCTTGGGCACCGAGTTTTTGCTGGGAAACTTTATTTGCATGGAAATTGCTGGCAAAGAATGAAAGGAAATTTTTTCCCTTCCTTAAAAAAAAAGCCCCAAACAGCCCTCCGCAGTGGAAACACAGATTAACTCTTGTTTTACAGCATCAGAAAATGGTGATTGCCATTCAACAACTTCTGCAACTGAGGACTTTCCTCATCTTAGGCTTAGGACTTGTTTACCTAGGGGGGTGTTTTCGGAATGAGGAGGCAAAGGGACTGAAAGTCCTTGTATTCTCACCCAAGGCAAAAAAAAAAAAAAAATTGTGCTGCAAAGTTAAAAGTCTTGAAATGTTCAGTATGGGCAAAAGCTATCGGGGATCCAGTGGAGAGGGCTAGTGAACTGCCCAGAAAAATGTTCACAAGACAGCGAGAATGGGAGAAATGCAGGAAAGGATTTTGGAAAGCAGCAATTGCAAGCAGGGAAGGAGAAATAAACCCGATGGAAAACTCAAGGAAGGTCTGACTTTCATCTAAGACTTTTTGCTCACATTTCAATAGCTTTCTGAAGAGCCTTTGGCATTGGACACAGCTGGTTCAGGGAGAGGAAAATGGGCATGTCTCCATGTAGGCACGACATGCTCTGCTTTGGGGAACTGAAGTCACTCCTCAAGGAAAGGATGTCTGTGTTCACGTGAAGGTCACCATTTGTCTTGATGGAAGGATGCATGTGTGAACTTGGGATCAAAGCCTGCGTGGTCCCTCAAACGCTGGTGCAGGCATTGTTTTAGTCCTCCATCCAAAAGGGTCATCCATCCTAAAGGGTCATTTCCCATCCCTGGAACAACCTTTTCTCTTCCAGTTTCTTATGCCCAAGAATCACTGGGCCTCCATCTAATGAAGTGAACCTGTCACTTTGGCATTTCCATGGCTGATGGATTCACTGCCAGGCTTGGCCACAGATTTGGCTCTGCTGGCCTCGCTTGTCCAGCTTGTAAATTGCACAGCACATAAAAACCATGACATACAATGTTAGGAATTAGAATTTGCTTTTTAGGGCAACCTGTGACTGTCTCTTTCAGTTGCCAAGGAGCTGACAGGAGAAGAGTACACTTGCACCTATTTCCCCCAAATTGCACCAGCGTGAGTGAAGAGAGGAGCTAGGGCTTCCTGTTAAGGTCAGCTGTAGCAGGCTGAGCAAAATGCGGGGAGAAGGTGACGTTAAGAGATTCCTGCCTGCATCCCCACTTCCATCCTTTCTCATGGCATGCCTTCCAGGGTTGCTGAGGGGTTGCTTAGCTGTTTCTTGAAGCATCACAGCCTTCCCAAGGCAGGTCATTGCCTTGCAGTCCCAGCTGAGTCATGGCCTGCTCCTCCAGAAAGAGAAATATTCAGTGAACTCGACAACTCCTTTGCATTTTGGAGCTCTGTCCATATAAGCTCATGGGGCAGATGGGGAGCTCACATTATTCTTCCATTCAAGGGCTCCACATGGATGCGAGCCATCTCAACAAATATGGAGACGTGCCCTGGGCTGGGCAGGATGTTTCAGGAAAAGTCTGTCCTAGTCCTTTTTTCCCATTTCTAGCCCATATGCTTCCATTGCAATGTAACACTGCCCTCTTTCTAAGGTCATGGAGGCCAGCAGAGAACCATCATCAGAAAACCCAGCTTCTCCCAATGAAGCTGTTCTTCTACCTGCCTGCTCCTCAGGTAGCTGGATATTTTGTTTATATCTTGTTATTCCAAGAACTGTAGGTGCTTCAACTGATGTGAGGCCCAGTGGTTTCAAAGAAAGCCAAGGCACAAACCAGGTGGAGCCCTCTCCTCTCTGCAGTTTGGGTCAGCAGTGAGAGCTGCAGAATCAAGGCTCCCTGCACAGCTGCCCGGAGGTTCCACAACAGATGTTTGAGTGTGGATCTGGAGCTGCATGGGCCAAGCTGCTGCTGGAGCTGCTGCTCTGATGCAGAGCATGAGCCAGCACCACTGGAGAGCTGAATGTAAAA